GGGGGGGGGGGGGGGGGGCATTCTGACAAAGCTATGTTATGGTCAGCCGAATGCAGCACACCACAAATACAAACAGAAAGCCTACAGTCCCACACAAGCAAAGTCAAAACTAAATTTCGGATTTCTTGCCGTAGCCGTATGCAAGGTGATGCTCTTGCCTGTCGTTGCCCGAGCCAAAGCCCTTTGCCTCCGTGCATCTCCCGATGGTCCGTGCTTCGAATCGTCAGATGTGAAGTCTTCGGATAGTTTCGGCCAACTTTGCTGGCATACGAGATTTTTGCGCAAACAACGTCCCAAATTGCAGAAGGTGTCGGCCTTAAAAGTTTCGGCCCTAGCCACAGGAATTCAATCGTTTCCTACAGAAGTGGGAATGCTGGAACCCGCCAACTTGGTTTCTGTGGGTCGGCCGACTTGGTACCAACCCACTGTTTGCCGACAGGCGGCCATTGCCCCGAAGAGGGGTCCAGAAAGCCATAGTGCGTGACTCAGAAGGTACCGGGCAACGAGCCGGTGGCAGCTTGACCGATTTTGTACGGCCTCGGCGAGGCAAGATCTGCAAAGTTCCATGTTTTTCCAACCGCCCTCCGTCACTCTTGGCACGTCCCGGATTCTCTTGGGAAGCTGCGTAGTAAAACTCGCACCGAATCAGCAGCGCGCGGATCATCCAGAATTTCCGCCTCAGTGAGTCATCGGCCGCGGTCGAGAGTCGACCACTTCGCGAACATCCCCACTCTACAGATCGTGAATTTGTGGGCCGTCACCTTGGGTGAGCTTGTGCGGGCATTCCAGGTCTAGGAAACCCTGAGGTTGGGCACTGCAGGATTCTCTGGGCTCCAGGAATTCTCAGGCTCTCTGGGGGTGGGCAGCCCAGAATAGTCTCTGTGGTTTCGCACTGCACATTCTGAGGTGATTTTCTAAAGAGTGCCAGGAGACCGGGCGAGGAGTAGACCGGAGAACAGCTTAGAAAGAAATCTAATGACCCCACACCGAGGGTGAGCAAGAAACCTCTCTACTGCGGACCGGTTGCTATGATCCAGTCTGAACCAATCTTGGTCGTGGGCAGCTCCGGTATGACTGCATGATTCGGGGGTACGGCCCTCGAGTGTAAGTACACCTGCTCAGGTAGCACGAACCACGTGCCACAGCCATGCTGCTAAGCATTATATCAACCGGGTTGCCCAAATTGTTGCCAGGATGCTCCGTCATCCTCTGCAGCATCCCACCAAGTCCCTTCAGCAAAGTACTTGCTGGGAGCCAAGAAGACTTCACCCGGCTTGATAGCACCTAGGGGAAATCTCGAAGGAATGCACAGGCAGAGGCAGTCGGAGGGACCTTTTGCTTCCTCTAGCTGGGTCTCCAACACTCCCAAGAAGCATCTGCATCAATATCCAGAATCGATATATCTCTGGAGTAATACACCTTCGGAGAACACCGAGAAGGACCTACAGAAAGCCTATGTCCGACGAACCTGAGTGCCACACCCGATCTTTGCAGCGGTGAACCTTCCAGTTGTGGCGCTGACTTGACGACCGTATCACGCCGCAATGAGCTGCAGCTAGATGCAAAAAAGACTCGAAAACATCACTTTGGCTTTCATGTTCATCTGGTTGTACAGCAGTTGTCCGAGCTGTGCGTTTGAAGAGGAGCGGCCTGTCAAGTGACTTACTCTCGATGAACTGCACTGAACAGCATGGCAGGCAGTTTTTTGAGTGTTGCTATGTTCGAAACCCTGAAAGTGAACAGCCTTCTCGAAGCTATTGCCCGGACCCGCCACCCCCTCCAGCGTCTTCAAAACTTGATGGTAATTCATTCACTGACCATGACAAGACAAAGCTGCAAGGACCGTCGGCGTGGAGATTCAGTCTCGCACCTTTTCTTGCACGACGGTTGCAAAAGCTCGTGGGAGGCACGGAGGCCATCGGAGGCCTGTGTGAAAATGATTGAACAGGAAGTTTTTTGATGAACTGCGGTGCTTGCACTTGGTGCTCGTTCATACGTGCGTGTGCTGGTGATCGTGCACGTGTTGCTCCACGGCATTGCCGCATGCTTTGGCTGTAGCTCTGACCCTGCGATTCTTTCGCGGCCTCCCAAGCTTGACCTGCCCTTTGTCCTCGCTGGCCTTGCAGTGAGCGAGTGAGAGTAAGAGTGAGAGAGGGCGGGAGTGAGAGCGAGAGGACAAAAAACGAGAGAAGCCCCGATGCCGTCACAGTTGCCTGTCGTTTCTTTTCGTTGAGGAGTGGGATGCTCTCTTCAGGTGCCCATAGAATCGTCTTCTTGCCTGGCTGGCGGCTAGCGGTCCGGATGGCAACAAGGGGCAGCCGAGCAGCCTAAAGCATCCCAAAGCCAAAGCAGGCCGCCTTCCCAGATCACGTGAAGGACGAGGCCACCGCTCGGTGCCACGCAGTCATCGGTGAGGCTTCGGCTCGTTGGGAAGATGGAAGCACCTGAGGAGAAAACAAGAAAACAGAAGGGACTTTTTAGCATCGCGACGGCATCGCTCGGATCGTGGCACCTGCTTCAAGGGATGGAGGGCTGCATAGTATGCGCAACTTTGGCACTGCATCATCTGTGCAAACCTGCGCCAGGGAGGCTTGGATTCCACAAATCCTTTGTAGTTTGTGTCTGGCTTTTCATTGTCGTTCACCCTCCCTTGATTCAACTCAACCGCAGGGAAGGTCTGCCGACCCAGCCTGCGTGAAGACGCTCGAAGATGTGGGAGCTGAGGGTTTCGCACTGCGCATGTCATCTGCCTTGTCCAAGGCTCGCGAGACTGCCTCAGGGTTGCCGAATTGAGAGGCGAACATACGAAACGCCCCTGGGCCCCAGGGCCCGCCTGTCTCAGATAGGGCCTCACTGACTGGATATTTCGAGGCTCCTGGGTCTAAGGCTTCCAACAGAAGCAAAGCCAATAACATCAAGAATCTGCCGGTCCTCCAGCAAAGATGGAGGTATCTCAACATCTTTGTGGTACTCGGTAGTCCGGTCTGCCGCAAGCTCAAAGAAGTCGAAGTCTGTGCGCAAAGATACGGCATCCTGCAGCCATCTCCCGGGGAGCTCGCACTCGCTCTCTGTCTTTCGCTCGCCGGGCCCAGTGGAAAACAAGGTCAAGCCGGGAACCCAAACCGTTCTTTAGGATTCTTTAGGCATGAGGGAGAGCAATAATCGAGCAGGGCTTTCTGACTTTTTTCGCCGTCCACGAGCACCCAGAGCTCCCCGTCCCCGTCCACGGCGTCCTCCCGAAAACGCTCGGCACCCAGAGCTCCCGGCCGCGCTCCCCAGACCCGTCCCCGTCCACGGCCGCGTCCTCCCGCGAACGCTCGGCGCAAGAGGAGGAGCCTCTGAGTCACTGGTCTCCTCTCGCTCTTCAACCCGGTTTATCGTTGTCTCGATAGGGCGGGCCCCAGCAAGGAGGGCGCACAGGCCAGCCCGACAATGAAGCACCGGCAGGAACCATCTTGACACGCAGTCGCTGAAAGGAGGTGGCTAACATCGTGTGCAACCAAAGCCAAGATCTGAGGATATCTGAAGTCCGGGGGCCGGAGAACATGCACAAACAAGGAGACACTCCAGTCAGCTGCAGTCGAAGGACCCTGAACGAAAACACGTGCTTTCATAGCAGGATTAGGCATCTCTCTCTTGCAACTTGCTTGCACGGCGTTTGGGGGGCCATTTCCTTCCACACAGTCATCTCACTCTCTCTTTCTCTCTCTCTCTATCTCTCTCTTTCTTTCACCAGGGCTAGGGGTAAGGGAGAACAAGCCCCCCTCACCCGCGCGCGTTAAGCGCCCCCGTCATATGGGGAGCGAATGGTGAGATCCTCATGCGAGAGAAAGGCAAGGGCGGCTCGTAGAAGTATGTTGCGCAAAAGCTCCACAGAAAGTATAATGCAAAGATTGGGGGAGAAAGCCCCGGCCACCTCCTCAACTCCGCATGGAACTGTCTACTGGTATATTGCCGCTTCTCTCCTTCAAGAAATCACGGGTGGGCGAAAGCCCCCCGGGCATTATAGGGCAATAGCGAACAGCGACATGAAGCAAAAAGGCAGACAACTTAGATTGAAGGAGAGGGGTTAGGTTCCCCTTCTGGGCACTCTTTGCAGACTACATGCTAAAGTGACATGTCTAGTCCGTACCAAGAAGAATCAAGCTGCAGAAAAGATTGCACACCGGGCGACATGTCACTGACTTGAAGGCTGATTCTCGCATTCTGTTCGACCTGTTACAGCAAAGCACAACAACCCCCGAACCAGCAAAGACACCCCGAACCTACTGAAGACAAGAGAACCTGAACAGAAAGCCCCAGGGTTGTTCCCCGGGCATAGGAGAGAAAAGCCTTATGAGGTCATGTTTACAAACTGGGAAAGTCGGCTATTGCACCGCGGTGGGAGGCCAACGAAAAGCAACCTCCTAGACTCAGAACCCTCTCTCTCTCTCTCTCTCTCTCTCCACGGGGCATAGGGGCAGGTCAATGCCCCCGGGCGCCAGGCCCACCCAATGTTTTATTGGGCGCAGGGGTGTGAGAAAAGAACGTAGATCGTCAGAACCCTCTCTCTCTCTCTCGCTCTGTGTCTCACTTCACTTCACTTCACTTCACTTCACTTCACTTCACTTCACTTCACTTCGGGCTCTCTCTGTCTCGCTGTCTCTCTCTCTGTCTCCCCCCAGGTACATGCTGCCTTGTCAGCAGATCGCGGCGGCTCCTGCACAACTTCAGCCAATTGCAGGAATTCCTGATGCACGTCTAAGCAGCTCAGGGACGAATCTGTAGCAATTATAATTAGGACAGATCGGGTGCCTGAAAGCGTGGAACGCCTGCACATTTAGTTGCCGCCCATTCTTGCGCAAGAGGTTGCCCAGGTTCAACAGCATCACCCTCTTTCACCTGGGAAGTGGTCACACTAGCAGACCCTAGTAGCAGCGAATACCATGGAACCAGCCAATGCCGATGATCGCTTGCGTCATTGAGTTGCATGCCGGGGCGCTGCTAAAGTTGAACCTTCGTGTTGAAAGTCCACGGCAGAACCCTGCAACACCCATACCTCAGACAATCTTGTTAGTGGAGGCACCACCAGAAAGCTCTTTGGGTCTCGCGTCCCAGGCACCAGCTTCCCCCCTTCGTCGATGCAGCTGCCAAGAGTATCCGCGGGTTGCACCAGAATCTCTCCGTCCTGGTCGGAATTGATGGGCTTATCCAAAGTCTCGATGTCATCCTCATCCGTGCCTCTGAAGAAGACAAGCGTAAGTGGAGCGAGCCACGATGAAAGCAACTGCGGACTCAACCGAAGCTGAAATCAGCCCTGCAGCTGGGTGAGGATTTGACAGGCTTCTGGTACAGCACTTGTCCAAAACTCACTGAAGCGCCTCGGCACAGGGAGGCACTGCTTCAGCAAGGAGTCATCACTGTATCTGCAAATGCTCGAGCAGGATAATTGAAAAGGGCGCCGTCGAGAACTTTGACGTACGTGCCAATTTCCAGATTCTCCGTCTGCAAGACATCGCTGCCGTCGGTGATCTGCAAAGTTGCAGCCTCTCAGAGAAGCAGTGGGGTCCATTCTGCAGACTTTGACCGGAACAAGACACCGCATTGAGCCTTCGCCAACACACAGCCAACCTCACCTTGCGGAGACCGCTTCCACTCGCTGACAGATCTGACCTTGGCCATGGGCTGCAGGCTATGGACTTATCAAGAATCTCCAAACACTTCGAGTGCAGCATCAGAGAAACTCTCCGATGAGATATGGTGCCTTGCGCGAGACATCGTCTTTTGAAATCTCGTCGTCGGAGCTCCACAATCGAACGTGTCCAGCGTGCTTTGCAACGACACCTTCACCAGCAGAACCTGCAAGGGCACAAGACCGCAAGAAGCAAGCAGCAGCTACTTGTACCAGTGCTGGCCTTCGAACGCTCCTCCGGTGTGGAATGTTCGCATTGTGAGCTGAGTGCCAGGTTCGCCCATGCTTTGCGCTGCGATCGTGCCAGATGGATGCCCGACACTAACCAACTCCCCAGGAGTTGAAAGGTCTTCACCGTAGCACTTCGCGCAAATCCCGTCATGAAGACGGCACCCCAGTGGGGAACGGACATGCACGGGTGGCACTTCAATTGTCTCAGCCAGAGACTTCCAGAGCGTCTCAATGTCTCCAGCCTCGTCGGCAGTAAGCATGTGCCTAGCAGCAGCTGTGTTCAGGACTGAAGCTATCGTGAAACCGAACACGAGGTTGTGTAAGAGCGCATGCAAACAATCCTCACTTGGGAGTTTTGCAGCCGTGCTGTCTTGCTTTCTTGAGTGGGAGTGGCTTCCCCGCAGAACCGCAGGCGTGAAAAAAAAGCTGTGCTCAGGTCTTGCGCTGGAATTTTGCAACCATGGATTTGTTGGTCTCTGCAAGGCAGGGGTCACCGCACACTCGGCGTCCACTCCTTGAAGTAATTCAATCAGCCCGCGGGCTATTCAGACTTGCATTGCACTTCACTCAAACGACAGTAGGTTCAAGTCATTGGGCTTGACCGCCCATTCTGCTACTACAACTCAGAATTGATGCTGCGGGTGTGCCACCGCTCAGTCCTTCGATTTTGGGTTTTCAGGCCGCATCGACCGCCAACCCAGGGCTTCTAGGCTGAATGCTGCACTTGAGCAACGGCCACTGGCCAATGGACATCGCCAAGCCCGACGTGAGGTTTTGCGCGTTGGGAGCACACCAACCCAGGTTTACGAAAGGACTGAGGCCTCAAAAAACAGTGCCTCTGCATGAAACCACTGAGAGACAGACGTGAACATGACAAATTTGAGTGCTCGCTCCACTTTACGTTAGAGTTGAAGGCGAGATCCGAAGATGACAGAAACGGCCATGGTCACTAAACTTTAAAACTTCGACCATTGCTGCATACTGCATACTGACTTCAGGCAAGATGCCCTGCATCAAAGAGGACTTCCTTTGATTCTGGATGGAGCACGGGTTTGCCCAGCACGCGCCCTCGTATCCGGTCTTTAAAGGACGCCACCGAATCTCGCATTCCTTTAAGTTCCATCGGAATTGAATCCTCGGTGCCGCAGTCCTCTGCACGCACCTGGGCAACAGCTTCTTGCGAGAGCAGTAGCTGACGATGCCAGTACCAGCTAAGCCAATGGCAACAACTGGTGAGCCAGTGAAATCCAACCGTCGGTATAGATATCCGGAATTGGCCGTTCTCAAGGCAGTGTCGATGACTCCCTGGATCTCCGTCCGCTCAGGTTCAAACCGACACAAAAGATTCTACAGCGTGCCTTTCGGGCGCCATGGCCTTGCAATTGCAAACACTCGTCTACAGCAGTGATGAAAAGCTCTCGCCTGAGATCAGCATGTCAGTGACGGTCATCCCTTCACGCAGGCAGTGCTGGATCGGCACCTCAGCTGGGTGCTTCCGCCTACTCTTCCACCGTGACGCGCCTTCAGAAGCCGAGTGCCGTGGTCATGTACTGAGATGAAGGGTGACTGCCTAAATGCTGGCTCCACGGAACCGAGAACTGAAGAACGAGCTGAAATTCGCATTGCATCTGTTCGGCAGAATCCTTAAGGATCCTGAAAGCCTTTGCGAGTGTGTTGTGGCACTTTGTGGCTCGCGATTTCGTGGTACTTTGAAGTCGGGTGATTAGGACGCCATCGCCACAGCTGGTCCTGGAGCGAATAGAGTCTTAGATGTGACAGTGCTCGAAATGACGGCAGGCGCTGATATCGGCTTCACGACGAATTGTCGACAACACCAGTACTCGCATTGCTCCCTTGGCACGAATGCGAACCTTTCAGGTTCACCGCAAAGCAAAACCGAAGAACCACAAAGCTGAGGGAGTCCAGACGACTCACCAATTTCTTGCTTTTTCGTGGCTGCCGACAGGACCTGAACTGCTTGGCGGCGCTGGCGGCTTCTGCGGTGTCAAACTCCACCAGCCGTCAAGCTTTTAGAGGCTCGCAGGGCACTCGGCCGGAGGCCCCATCTTGCTGGGACTGCAGCCGCACGTTGTTCGAAGCAACCAGGCGCTGACTGACATCCAGCAATTAGCAGCCCATTCCAAATGAATCATAGGGCATTGTGGCCATGAAGATCTCGCTGCATTGAAAGCTAACATGGAACAAAAACCCTGCAATTTCAATCATTCTCATGCACAGGAAAGCATGCGTCTAATTTAAGCAAGGCACATCAATCAACTGGCCTGCCACTTCAGGGATCCATGACGGATGCAGATGCCACAGCCGAAACTGTTCCAACCAGGACATGGGATCAGCTCTTCTCTCTCGTCTTCTTCTGCACAGCCAAAGGAG